GCCTCCACAGTTTGACGGAAAAACCGCTTGGGCCAATTATTTTTGCCAGTTTGAGGCCGCTGCGAGAGCGAACGGATGGACAATCGCTGAAAAGGCTACCGCTTTGACTGTCGCACTGCGAGGAGATGCGACTGATATCCTGCAGACATTGTCACCATCGGAACAGGGAGATTATCAGCAACTGGTACGACATTTAGAAATGAGGTACGGCCAAGCTCATTTGGAACATGTCTATCATTCCCAGCTAAAAAATCGCATTCAAAAGTCAAATGAGTCTCTGCAGGAGTTTGAAGCCGACGTAGCCCGCCTCGTTCGCCTTGCGTACCCTGCTATGCCCGAAAATGTTATGGAGCGCTTAAAAGTACAGGCTTTTATTGATGGTTTACGTGACAACGAGACAAGGCAAACACTTCTTTTAGCTCATCCAACGCATTTGGGAGATGCCCTAGCACGTGCCCTGGAATTTGAGGCCGCGAAAGAATGCTCTAGGTCTCTAGGATTTGTACGGGCTGTTGAGGAGTGTTCCGACGATTCCAAAGTGGAAAGGATTGTGCGGAAAGTACTGGATCAGTATATGAGCAAGAAGGGGGGACCGATTCGCTGTTGGAATTGCGGACAGATGGGAAATCGTTGCAAAGAAGAGAAAGAAGTGAAAGTCTTAAGGACGACCGTGGTTGGTGATACTTGGCAAACCGAAGATCTTGCAAATGACCAAATCAGCGATCCAGAGTTGGGCTTGGTGATTAACTGGAAAAACGCGGACCAGAGACCAACGTGGGGGGAAGTTTGCAGATATTCGCCGAACGTGAAGTCGTACTGGGCCCAGTGGAATTCCTTGGTAATAGATAACGGACTACTTCGCCGTGTGATCGAGAGACCGGAGGGCAAGAAGAGAGAAGACAGATCGTCATTCCAAAGAGGGTCCCAGAAGTCTTGGAGGAAGTTCACAATGGAACCAGCGGAGGACATCTTGGTGTTACCAAGACACTTGGCAAGCTGCGTGAACGGTTCTACTGGGTGAACTGCAAAGAAGATGTGAGGGCCTGGTGTAAGAAATGTGACATTTGCGCAGCCATTAATGGGCCACAAAAGCGTGGTAAAGCCCCTATGCGCCAGTACAATGTTGGTAGTCCCTTCGAACGAATAGCGATCGACGTGGCTGGTCCTTTCCCGGAGACGAACGATGGCAACAAATACATTGTGGTAGTAATGGATTACTTCAGCAAATGGGTCGAGGCCTACGCGTTGCCAAATCAAGAAGCGTCCACGATTGCTGATGCCCTTGTTAAAGAATGGATCTGCAGGTTTGGTGTTCCCATGGAGCTTCATTCAGATCAGGGAAGAAACTTTGAGTCCAATCTGTTCCAAGGCGTCTGTGAAGTCCTGAACATCCGCAAGACCAGGACGACTGCTCTACATCCACAATCCGATGGGATGGTTGAACGCATGAACAGAACTATCAACCGTTATCTGGCCAAAGTAGTCTCTGACCACCAAAGAGACTGGGACAAATTTCTTCACCTGTTCCTGTTGGCCTACCGTTCATCCGTCCAAGAATCTACAGGGCAAACTCCAGCCAGCATCGTTATGGGACGGGAAGTGCGCCTACCCTGTGATCTGAAATTTGGTTGCCGACCGGGAGAAGAAGTCGCCGGAGAAGATTATGTCCACACACTACGTCAAAGGATGGACGACATTCATCAGAGAGTCCGCCTAAATATTCAAAGTGCTAGTGACCGAATGAAGGAACACTACGACATTCAAGCTGAGCATGGAGGATACCAACCAGGGAAGTTGGTGTGGCTATATAACCCGCAGAGACGTCGTGGGTTATCTCCGAAGCTACAATCCTCGTGGGAAGGGCCATACGAAGTCATGGATAGAATTAATGACGTCGTATACCGTATCAGAAAATTGCCAAAAGGAAAACCGAGGGTAGTCCATTTCAACCGTTTGAGCCCCTACCAAGGCGAAATAGAAGATCGTGCTGGGACCGTGAGAACCTGCAGCTTTGATCCCCCTGATTCGGAGATGTCCTTTGACGATTTCATGGCCCGATACAACAGCAGTGAGAAGGCTCGCTATGGTGTAACCAAAGAAGATCAACGAGACCTCTTTTCCGTGCCTCCTGATTATTCGCTCGCTCATTGTGTGGCTCGAGATTTGCGGATGTCCAGAGGAATCGCTGCGACGTTCAATGAGAAGTTTGGGCGTGTCGGAGAACTACGCCGACAGGATCCAGAGGTTGGAAGCGTCTTGAGGCTAACCGACAATGCACATGGTCAAGCAAGGCACATCTTCTACCTGGTCACCAAGGAATGGTCCCCGAGTAAGCCGACTTATCTCAATCTATGGAAGACCCTGATTGAACTGAGAGAAGCCCTGCTAAACAACAACATTGCACGATTAGCCATTCCGAAGCTGGCGTGTGGACTCGATGGTTTGAGTTGGCGTACAATCCGGAACATGATTGAAGTCTTGTTCAGATTTACGGGAATCGAGATCCTCGTTTGCTGCTACAACCCAAAGCTGAGATCGGGAGAGAAAACTGTAGACTGCTATTTCTACCAGACTTCGCAATGTACCAGGGGCCAGCTTTGCAAATACCTTCATTCACCGTATAATCTCGGGACGAGCATGTGCCTAAGAAGGGGGCAGTGTTGCGAGCCGGTGTGGACTCGACCTAACCTCACAATATGGCCCGCCCTCGGATGACCTTAACATCGCATAGACACCGCAATGATTCATTCGTTCGAGAAGAATCGAGACCCACTAGAATGGACTCGTACATACGAGAACATTCGAAAACCTCTCTATGCGCCTAACGATCTTTGGACTATTCTAGATTTCTTTTACCTGTCGGTATAAAAAGCCGGCGGCAGTGGCCTAGAGAGGGCAGTTATAAATATACAGTTGACGCGCTAAAATTCAAAATAAATTCTTAGTTATAAATCGTTTGTAAATAGTTCTATAAGTCTTTTATCGTTATTATTTTTGTTAATTAGTGTTAAATAAATAGTGTTTAAATAAATTGTGACTTTCTATCCACACGGAACCGACGAAAAACGTAACATAACGATAAAATGACAAATTACATTAATTCAAATGAGTGTTTCCATTACGAACTGATTGACGGCCGAAGTCGGGTGTAGTGGAACTACGTCACGAGTGGGCGTGGCCTCGTCTGGCCGTTACAAACTTTAAGCTCTCATATCCCGAAAACGGCAAAAGATTTCGTTTTGAAATTTTAATGGTGCACTTATTATAATAAGTAGTATCCAAAAACGTTTAAAAAACATACAAATAGGATATGATGGAACAAGCCTATTACTAGAAGGTGATCTCAAAAGTGGCTCACCCCTATAACTTTTTTATTTTTCCAGATAAAAAAGCCAGATTTGGTACGTTAGTATATGACATAAATTAGTATTGATTGACGTATGCAATTGTTTTTGGTCACTTCCTGTTTCACCGGAAAAAACTACAACTTTTGATTTTTAAATGGCACCCTCGGTATTTTTTTACTTAATTCGATAGAAAATCACACTCTGAATCGAATGACAGATCATATGTCAAATTTTGGCATTTTTTCATATGGTTTATTTGAAATTGTAACATGCGGTTTATAACGACAATTTGACTCGAAATACCAAATGTGTGGTAACAAATTATTCGTAAAAAAATGCTTTTTCCAAATAAGCTGATGAGCCACTTTCGTTCCATGTGAAAATATCGACCTATGATTAAAAATTCGATTTGGGCATCTTTTAACTGGCCACGACAAGACACGTAAAACATTAGATGATCAAATCTATTTTTCCCAAAAAATAGTGTTTTTAACACAGCCATGGCACTCTAGATTGAAATTTAAAATACGATTTTTTTAAAGCGAGAATGTCAAAAGTTGACATGTGATATGTCATTCTATTTAGAGTGTCATTTTCTATCGCGTAACGTAAAAAAAATACCGAGGATGCTATTTAAAAATCAAAAGTTGTAGTTATTTCTGGTGAAACAGGAAGTGACCGAAAATAATTGAATACGTCAATCAGTCCTAATTTATGTCATATACTAACATACCAAATCTCGTTTTTTATCTGAAAAAATAAAAAAAGTTATAGGGATAAACCCAAGAACAGTTAACCTAATAGGACTGCTCATTCAGCCAAAAGTGTCCGCCAGGTGCATGCGAAAACTACTCGCTTTGTGACGTCATTGTAGCCCTTGTCATGGTTATTAGTCCTTATCCGGCAACGAATGATACACACACGTGCATTATTGGTTACCGAATGCAAAACGTTCATTATTTAGTTTATTTATTTAAACACCTTATATGTATGCAGTATAGAAAATTAACTGTATAAATCGTATTAAATACTCGGATAATGCATTTTTAAGAACAGCAGTTCCCAGCATCACCTTTTGCAAGCATTCTTTTTAGAGTACTTCCATATTTTGCTTTAAAATAATTAATAAACAAAATCGTGGGCACTTACTAGTGCTTACTACTTTGTCACAATCCACAACACAAAATGAACGTATTTATACACTCTATAGCTCTAAAAACTTTAAGACACCTTTTTCACATTTAAAATTGACAAAATAATTAACTCAAAATTTCTCAGCTGTTATTTTTATAAGTTTACCATAGGCAACTAATAATACACACTATCATGACAAGGCCACGAAGGCTTTGACAAGGGCTACAATGACGTCACAACTCTCAGCTGAAGCGCGGGAAGAGGCGAACGTACGTCTTATGAGGATGAGCAATCCTATTAGTTTACCGTTCTTGGGATATAAACCACTTTGGAGACGCACCCGGTATATGACGTGAACGATGGCTGAACATTCTATAAGGTGCAGTTGCTCACATAAAGCGCAGCTTTCAAGCATATTTGATCCAAGTACACTTTGATCGTATCAACTAGGCTTTATAGAAGTATTATTTATATGATTTAAAGGCTCTTTTTGTGTTTCTGAGCATCATTCTATTGCAGAGACGGCGTCACAATCAATATTCACGAAGCGACAGAACGGCAACGGCTACAAGTTACTCCCCGGTATCGAGTTTCATCTGTACATCAACACGGCCCCTTGCGGCGACGCGAGGATATTCAGCCCCCACGAGGATCAGCCGCACACAGACAGGCATCCCAATCGCATTTCCAGGGGCCAGTTGCGTACCAAAATCGAGTCTGGCGAGGGTACCATTCCCATCAAAGGTTCTTCCATACAAACTTGGGACGGCATTATTCAGGTACACCATTATTTATTTATTTTGTGTATGACAAAATACCATATTGGTCACTTTATTTCCGTGGTTTGTATTTTAATGCATACGGCAGAGATAAATATACAGGGTGGTCCGAACTGTATTCCGGAAAAAAATAAGTAAAAGAGTTCGTATAAATGTATGTCCTAAAATGCTTAGTTTCATTTTGTAGTGTAGCAGTTTCATTTTTATTTCGATTTTTTCTACATGTGTTTTAACTGTTTTGAAGTGTAATAACTTTTCGTCCGTACCTGTATAAAACTACTGAGTGAAAAAATATACATTTCCGTGACTTTTTACGTAAAAATTGTCTCTTGGTAAAAATCTCTAAGAGCCGTTTTTAAGATATTTAGAATGGAATAGGGAATAGTCAATATATGTTATTATTGACAAAAACACATTGAGTAGATAGTTATTTGACTGAAACAATAAATTAGGGAAATTTTAATTTTTTTAAATTAATGATAAATTTTTCTGCGAAAAAATGATGATAAAACAGTTCCTGTTGACCACTACCACTGCGAACGGCAGCTTTTCATCGGAGAGCAGTCGTGGATAAGGTATTTCACTGGAAAGAAAACTAATTAATAACAATAAACAAAAAAAAATAGATATTGGGCGCCAGGCATGTACAGAGAAAGAAAACACAGTTTTATATTACTTAAAACTAATGACTGTATTTATTCATGATGGTCTTTGATGGTAAATAACATTGTAGAATTCTAATACTTAATTATAGTGGTTATATGTCGAGGAAAGTTATATTAAAATTAGTATTAAATATGCTCAATGAAAAAGACTACGGAAAATACAATATAGATAGAGCTATAGAAAATATAAAAAAAGGTAGCATTACTTTAATTAATTTGTTAAATTTTATACAATATTAAATAAGATGTTGCAAGCGTGGATTAGGGCCTATTAGTCTCACATCGTTCATACTAAAAACGCTGGAGAAAGTAGTTGACAACCATATTGGAGAAAATCATCTAAAGGTTAAACCACTGCATGATAGTCAGCATGCATATAGAACGGGCAGATCCACAGAAACTGCTCTGTACCAATTAACGGAGCTAATACAGACAAGTCTGGATAGCAAAGAAACAGCAATTTGTGCCTTCTTGGATATTGCGGGGGCGTTTGACAATATACCACATAAGGTGGTCAGGCGATCTCTAGAAACAAGAGGGGTGAACAGAACTATTATTCGCTGGTTTTGGGAAATGCTGTCAACACGAACAGCAGAGGCTCAGATGGGCACCAAAACTGTAGCTGTTAAAACAACGCAAGGAACTCCACAAGGTGGAGTAAGTCCCTTTGCTGTGGAGCTTGGTGGTGGATGAACTACTAGATGAATTAACTCTAGCGGGAATACACTGCATTGGGTATGCAGATGACATAGTCATGATCGCTCGGGGGAAACATGAAGGCACCTTGTGTGATATTATCCAAAGAGGACTCCGTATCACTGAGAGATGGTGTAGGACTGTCGGGCTGAGTATCAACTCAGACAAAACCGCGATAGTGCCATTCACCAGCAGGCGAAGTCTGAAAAACTTGAAAAGAATCCAACTAGATGGAAAGGAAATACTGCCAACACAGGAAGTTAAATACCTGGGAATAACCCTGGACAGTAAACTCCTGTGGAACAGGCATATTAAGAACACTACCAGCAAAGCCATAAAGGCTCTCATGATATGCAGAAGACTGGCCGGAAATAGATGGGGCTGCTCCCCTAACATTTTGCGCTGGATGTATACCATGATAGTAAGACCCATGATTACTTATGGAGCAGTTGCCTGGTACACAAAACTAGAGCAACGGACGGCAAGGCTAAACCTATGCAAAGTCCAGAGACTAGCATGTGTTTGCGTCACAGGAGCCATGAGAACCTGTCCAACAGCAGCAATGGAGGTCATTCTAGATCTAACACCACTGCACATTGTCATTGGTAGATATGCCAATGCGACAATGATTAGAATGGTCACTAACGGAATTAGTACTGGGAGAATTGTCAGATCAGGGGCTTGGAACACCCTCAAAAAGGAAATACCACTCCTGCAACTCCCAGTGGACGATATGCCAAGAACGTACAACTTTGACAAACATGTCAATGTAGTATTGAGCAATAAGAAGGATTGGAAGAGCGAAACGCTTGCCCAGCAGTTAAAAGACCATACTATAACTTGGTATGCTGATGCTTCCAAAACCAATACGGGAACAGGGATCGGAGTGTTTGGGCCGAGAGCTAATTACTCCGAACCAATGGGCACTTACCCTAGTATCCTACAGGCAGAAATCTACGCTATCGAGAGATGCGTACAACTTATCTTAGATAGGAACTATCGGAAACAAGAAATAGCCATCTTATCTGATAGTCAAGCAGCGTTAAAGGCGATCAACTCAGTCTCAATCAATTCGAAATTGGTCAAAGAATACATAGAGAAGCTGAATAAATTAGGCAAAGAAAACAAAGTCCTCCTACACTGGGTGCCTGCTCACCAAGGGATAAAAGGCAATGAAAAAGCAAATAATCTAGGTAGAAAAGGAGCGAACACTCCACTAACTGGACCAGAACCGTTCTGCTTTCCAAGTGGTAACCAACTCAAGGAGGAACTCAAGAACTTGGAAGATTCCATCCGCAACCTGGAATGGAAATCTTGCAATGGTCTAGGACACTCGAAGAAGTTTCTGAGGGCTTATGATCAATAAAAATCACAGATCTTCCTAGGTCTGAGTAAGAACAATCTTCGGATTGTCAGGGGTTTTTAACAGGACACTGTCTCCTCAATGAACACCTCAGTAGATTGAAACTAAGAAGAAACGGCGAATGCAGATTCTGTGGGGAAGATGGTGAAACACCAGTACACCTCATCACTGAGTGCGCCGAGACGACAACCATTCGTGCCATGAATTTTGGTACGACTGATATTGGAGATGGAGAACTACCCTCTATAAAACCGTCCCAGATACTGGCTTTTGTCAAAGCCCTGGGACTGTATGATGAGATATGATTCAAGAAAGGGGGACACAATGGATCTGTAAGGTCGAAGTGATTAACCCCCCTCCCACTCATTCTAAATTCTAAAATTCTAAGCGTGGATTCTAGAATCTGTTCGGTTATTCATCTTTTTAAATCACGCAATAGATATATACAGAAAGTAATACTATAACAAGATATGGTCGTAATGAAACCTACGAACAAAATCATATTTTAAATACTAAACAGACATAAGGAATTTAACCACTAAACGTAAAGTCTGTACGATATTATTTAAGATGTATATTATTGTCTTAAGACTGAAAATGTAAAACATAAAAACCAGAACATAAATCTAAACTTAGCTGTTCGTTCTTAAGGCAACCCTGCTTCAAAGAGTAGCAGCGTGAGGTGGGACTCGTATCTCTATACTGTCTCGCGGCCATGCAACAAAAGGGGCCAGGATGAGGATACCATGAACTAATACAGTCGTAACTATCGATTAGGCTTAAAAACAGGAACGAAGCAGCATGGGGCCTACGCCACATCCATGCTGGGGCACTCTGTACATGGGATAAACTATCCGTACAGTGGACACTTGTCCATCGGACACCTGTCCATAGGAAATCTGTACATGGGAACACTACCCGTACCTTGGAACACTACTAGGACCTTGGATAATGCACGTACCTTGGATACTGTCCGTACCTTGGACATCCAACCATAAGATAATGTCCGTAACTTGGACATCCGTCCATAAAACAATGTCCGTAACTTGGACCATAACCTTGGAATCAATACATATATATGGGAAACCTGCCCATACCTTGTAAATATTCCGTACCTTGGACCATAACCTTGGACCCTCGAATTACTTCCGTGGGCTCAATAGTAAACAAAGAAACTTTCCTTTCTTCAATGTAACATTCTGGAGGACTAAAGAAAAGGAACGCCAACGTGCCAGCAAAATGCAAATACAAGTTAAGTTGGGACATCCGAAACTCCACCCTGTTGCTTTGAAATAGCAGCTGATTCAGATTATACAGCAAGATTTAAATAATTACCATTTCTACAAGCCGCGATGGTGTGTTGGTGATGGCTACAGAGCGGCAAAAGCAAAAGTGAGGTTAAGCACGGAGACCTTGGGCGATGTTGACAGCGCCTCCACAGCAGTCAAACGATAACAGGGTTGTGGACTAGAGAACGTAAAAATTACGCCAAGCGCGTCAAATAAATTATCCGGCCTGAACGATAGGGAATCCGGTGATGATACGCCAGACATCATATATCATATACAAATACATGCAACGAACTAAAAACGTTACAACTTTTGACATAAGAACATTTAAAATTTATGATTTCAGTCTAATAACTATTTAGTCAACATGTTTAATTTATGTCAGTGATGACAGGTATTGACTATTTCGATTCCAAATATCTCGAGAACCATTATTCGTAGCGATTTTTACCAAGAGGTCTTTTTTACGTAAAAAAAACCTGATAAATGTATACTACAATAAAACACTTTTCTACACTAATATGCTGAAGCACCTAGGATATTCTTGAATCTATAATTAAGAATTACTGAATAATTTTTTTCATATAATAAATTATATCTGGCGCAGTAGGTAGGCTTGTTGGGGTAGACGTTGAAATTTTCACCATCCTGTGTATAATAATTGGGTAATTTTTTTGCATTGATATCTTTTTTAGGGCGAAAGACTCTTAACAATGTCGTGTTCAGACAAAATTTGTAAGTGGAACGTTTTGGGTGTACAAGGAGCCTTGCTGTCCCACTTCATAGAGCCCATCTACCTCAAGAGTATAGTTTTAGGAAGCTTAATGAAAGAACAACACCTGTACAGGTATCGTATATTTTAAGACATTACTGCAAATGCTTTTTACTTGATATTAGTTAGTAGAAGTTACGAATTAGAATAAATATTATGTATTTTTATATCTATCTAAATGGTTTTTAACTTGTGCTGAATCATTCTAATGGGTGATTCAGTGTTAGTTGAAAAGTTGACAGATGTAAGAATATATTATTGTTATAAGAAAGAAGTTTTGGCATCTAATTAGTTGACTTTTATATTATTTTTATATATAATTATTGTACTAATGCTACAGATTTTCTTTTGTACAATACAAGGTGAGGGAGAGATATGCAATAAGTCGAAAGTTTTTGAGAAGACAAAACGTTTTGTTTAGTTAATTGTGACTAGCAAGTTTTTGCGCGGATCACATTACATTTTTCGAAATTATTTACAAAAAAGTAGATATATTTTTTGATAGTATATACCAGATATTAGAAGAAAAACAAAACAGAATAAATTGATATTTTTATGAATAACAAAACTGCTCTAAGGGTATTAAGAGAAGTTAAAGTCTATATTATTATTTTTCTTTTGAAGTGAGATTAACTCAAAGATTATGTGTCGATAGAATCCTTCTGAGGTGCTGCAAACACATAACGATGACCACAAATCAATGAGTGGCCAACAATTTCTAGAGTGGTGGAAAAATTCGCCAGGACAGAGGCAGGCGAAAAAAAATAAAACATTTTCTTGCCAGCTACCGCAAACCGAGTTGTTCGTGTCTGTCGGGCAAAAAGCGAGGTTGATTGCTGTTCCTATTTGGGTAGTAAGCTTAACAGAAAAGGAAACATAGACGCAGAGATACTATACAGAATAAGCGCTGCCACCAAGGCTTATTTTAAACTATGCAGGAGGGTCTTTGGAAACAATGATCTGCGATGCAGTTATTATCCCAATAATTTACGGTACTGAAATTGCTTAGAGCGGTTACAACAAAGACACTTAAAGAAGTGGTGCTTTGCAGAGCAAAATGTGTTTCTGTTGAAATTCTGGATGGGAGAGCTCACCTACGATTACATATCGAGACGATAGCCAAACTAGAAAAAAAAAACATTCTCTACGGTAAGTCAAAAACTGCGATATAAAGATGTACTACATGAAACTTTAAACAGCGTCAATACTAATAACGGCTGGGAAAATATCACTCTGTCACGAAATGGAGACAAGTAGTACACAAACATGAGGGCCCTTGTCTTTGCAACAGATATCATCCAGTCTCTGGCCACGTTCCGTATCCAGAGTGCGTCCATAATAACCTCCAGAATTGGACTCTACAGCCGCTGGAGAGGACATTTACGACGCACTTAGATTATCTTTAAAAAACTCGGACACGATTCAGCGGCCATATACAGTATGTCTCCGGATTGTCTTTACAGGAGGAAACACTTTTTTATTATTGACATTTTGAGAAAAAAAAATTCTTCATAATTTTTTTTTCTAAAATGGTAATTCTGTTTGTGCTTTTTCAAATTTCTATATAGTTTTAGAGAAAATTAAAAAAAAAACATGAAAATATAAATCCTAAAAATCAAAACTTGTTTCTGTGGTAGAATTTAGAATAAGTGGGAGGGGGGTTAATCTCTGCGACCTTAGAGATCTATTGTGTCCCTCTTTCTTGAGTTATAACTCATCATACAGTCCCAGGACTTCCTACGGAGACCCGTGTCCCTCACAGTCGAGGAGCTACGACCCAGGCCGGGTAGACGAAACGGTAGCTTGTGTCGCCTGTTGGGTTTAGAGGTAGGAGGTAGGCTCCCGACCCTTGGAGGAGGTGGTAGTTTGTATGCCACTTGCGGAGGATGGTCTCACGCAAGTGTCAGCCACCTCTCCTGTAGTTCTCTTTGGGTTTGGCCCCTTGGAACTTTCATTGTTACTGTTCCCAGTGTCGCTAGGGGGTTTCCCCACAGCTTCACCGGTGATGTTTTTATTACTATTATTACCAGATCTCATAGTGTTCCTATGAGTCGCTAGGGACAGTCGGTCCACTTCTACAGAGCCCCGCATGTAGAAGTAAGGAGTAAAATACAATGGGGTGCCCCAAGGTTGAGGCTGTCCGTAGCCCCGCCCGGTATCGTTATATGTCTTGGTGCAAACCGATTTGTTACAAAATACAGGGTGAGTCTTAAATAAGTGCAAATATTTTCAGGGGGTTGTATATTTCGATTCCAGGAACACGTCTATGAGGTTTTTTCACAAAAAGGATGTTGAAAATTATTTTCTTTAAATTTTCCTGCGTATCTTAGAACTGCCCGTTCACCGCAAATTTTCTCACGTTATAATTTTCTAATATGGTGATATCCCATGGTGATATTACTATACCTAAAAGGGATGCAAATACAGAGAAAATCCGGTGGCTCTCATTTTTTAAATCAGTTTGTTTTAAATTTTCAGAGATCTACCATTCCTGAAAAGATTTGCCTCATCCTGTATAAGCGAATATCTGTCTAATGAATAGGCTCTGCTCTGATGTAGCTTCCGTTTTTAATGCATGAATATAAAAATAGTGTGGTAAATCGCATTGATCGTTAAATAAAAAATTAAGGAAGGAAGTATGAGTCTTCCTTTATTAGATTTTTTTCATTTAATGATTCAAATGTGCGGATAAAAACAACTAATCCGTCACGACTGCGCCATTTCCGCGACCGCCGAATTTTGTAATTTTGAAGGCGTTCGACTTATTTCAAATCCCTCCACCACCCTGCCGTTGTATAATGCGACATGATATACTAACCCCACCCCCAGAGCGATATGCGGCCGCATAGAGCAAACGTTGCAGGGCCTGCCCCCGCCGTTTCAGCTAAACCGGCCCGAGATGCTGCGCGTCAGCTCGGTGGAGGTGCGCCAGGCGCAGAAGGCGCCCAACTTCGCGGTGATCTGGTCGCGGGGCATGCAACTGCCCGAAGTGGTGATGACGGACAAGGGGAGGCCCGAGGGCGGCGCCAAGTTGTCGCTGGTGTGCAAGCAGAACCTGGCCAAGAGGTTCGCCTGGTTGCAGGAGTGGCTGTCGCCGATCGGCGGCAGGAGGATCACGGCCATGACGTATGCAGACGCAAAGGAGTCGATAAAAACATATGTGGTAAGTTGGGGGATATGTCTGTTTGTATGATAGATTGAAATTTATACCGTGTGTTGCATCGTCGACATAGAATATTACTAGATGTGGCTCTTAATTTCATCTTGCTGGTAAATGCCGCCGTGACCTCGGACTGCTTTGGACCTTTAACAGGAGTAAAGACGTTGTCAGGCTTCGTTTTTTTTCTCGAATGCATTGTTGGCTTTTATAAAAATTTAAGAATGTATTTTTATATATTTTTATCATATTTTAAGTTCTCACAAAGGAGTACCATTTCAGAGGGTAATATTTCTTTATATTGTCACTTGGTAAAAGCATAAATGTCAAGAGACAAAACAGGTACTAGTTGAAAAATTATAAAAGTAAGATTGGTTGACGAATGAAGATTTTATATAATATTTATACTAAAAAAAAACAACCAACTAATCAGATAATAGTCTTTTTATTATTAAAAGCCAGAGTTTTTATGTCTTAATAGTAGTTGAGTATAACAAGTTTTACTATAAAAAACTGAGTAATTAGAATTTTGTTTCTTAAAAATCCACTGTCCGTAAAGTCGACCAGACCGCAATATGATTTACATTTTATTTTTTAATTTAAATCTGAAGTTTTATGAGAAAAATACAGGAGATAAAAAATGTAAATTAATCAGCATGTAGTAATTTTCTGAGACAGGAGTAAAATAAATGGAAGTTATATCATCATACAACTTAGCAAACTACAAATTAAAACACATTTCCAACTTTTTTCATGTTTTTTTTACATTTTTTGTCTTCTATAGTAAACAGGCAGAAAATTTGTAGAAAAGTAAGGTCTACCAATCATAAAAAAGTAGTTAAGTAGGTACTTACGGTGTTTCGTCCTTTGGCACTGCAAAAAATTTTACTCTACTGCCCCGTCATTTGGGGAAAGTATTCTTAAAGTTTTTATAAAAAACTACACCAGTCTTTTTGTAACTATCCATATTATAACCATAATGATAACACATGCCTTATTTTATGCCAGGAATCCAAAAATGAAATAAAACACCGGGTGTTCCATAATAAAAAATATAACTTTGGTATGGATCTTAGTTCTTACACACCCTGTACCTTTCAAAATAATTTTAAATTATGCGCATTGCCTTCCCACATATACCCATAAAACATTTTGTTTCTACCTCTTTCTGTTTTCGTATAATCAACCGAGGCGAATGAGGTGCGCCACACTGTATTATTTGTTTCTTCCTAATTATTCAACACACTTTTCTTACCCTGTAGGTAGCAAGACAGGCTTTGTATGATGCCTTTAAGAAAGCACAACTAGGAGTGTGGGTTACCAAGCCTATGGAACAAGACATGTTCGAGCTTGCCGCACCTATTGATCAACAATTCTAACTGCAAGACGAGACAGATTCTAACCTAAAATGTTTTAACTTTTTTCTAATTACCGTTAAGATCTCTCATCGCTGTATAAAGCTTGGAATAGTTTATTTCTCCATAATTCGAGAAGCAGTACAAATTAGTGTCATCTATTTCCTGCCATCGCTCATGAGAGTTTCTTTTTTAATGTAAATTTTGTTTATATGTCGGATCATAATGTGTAAAAATAAAAGCTCGGGACATTTATAAACTTTGCACTGCTTGGATGAATGCCATTGTATAACAGTGAAAATTTATAATGTCTTTGTTGTATAATTTATTTCAGTTTTAACAAACTCGATTATTTTTTTAAGCACTTTTATTAGAATATAGCTAGGTGATTTTTATAGAGCTCAGTATCGTTTGTGTATTTTGTGTTGAAATACTATATTTGCTCTATTGAGTAGTTAATAATTTTGTGATTAATAAAATTATGAGAATAGGTACCATTGGTTTTTCTGTTCACTACGAGGGTGGTCTGAAAAGTTTAAGACCTGTACTAACACAACCAAACCACACGTACGCAACATTTACGTCGCCACATTTTCTAGCCTACGTTTTTGTTAGCGAAATGTATCGTATTATACGCACATCAGAGATACGTATTTCATATGTGGCTTAGCTACGAAGCAACGACGTCGGCTTCATCATGTTTTAATGTGGCAATTAATTAGAAGAAAAATACGTTATTCGGTTCATCCATTTAATCAAGATTGCCCAAAGTAATTGCAGCGTTTCACAACAGTTAAAATCTGACGAAGAAGACTTCCATTTGTATCGTCGAATGTCTTCAGATAATTTTTGTTTTACGTTTGTTACTATAATCACTGATTTTATAATTGTATAATTCAGGATTATTTTCAATTTCTGCAATAAACTCAATCTTTTCTCTCATTTTGTTTGCTACGTATATGTCGCCGGGCTACAAAAAACGAACTTGTTCTATCTTTAATTTGTGTGTCTCGCTGACAACTTACTGTATTAGTGTATTCCCGGTAGCATATAAGCATTCTTTACAGACCTACGGCACCAACAAAATTTACTTGGTTTTTATTGGTCAGCGTACGAAAGAAAGCTAAACGGCGGAAAGTAACGCCTGGTTATAATAGGCAGTTTTGCGAGAGCACCTGAGGCTCCGTGACTGAGGCTATCGCTTCGTGAGCGAATGGTCCGTGGTTCAAATCTCACGCCGGACTAAGACTTTTTTATATTTTTTTTTTGCTTGTAGTGTGATTTGATTGCATTGGTTTCACTCTTTTTGGTTAGATTGGTTTAGTTATTTGGCGGGTTGGTTAGCGTGGTTATTTGGAGGGTGTTAATTCATTGGTTAGTTGTTTATTTGGTGGGGTTGGTTAGGTTTGGCATTCCGGAAATTAAAAGGCAGGGTTTTCTACAATCATGACTTGAGTACAAAAACGAAACTTGCAGTGTACCGAGCGATTATAATCCCCACCATGTTATATGGGAACGAAACCTGGGTGCCGTACCGCCGACACATGAACGCATTAAACAAGTTGCAACAGAGACACCTTAGACAACTCTTAAAAATCCGGTGGTTCCATCATATCTCAAACGTCGTATTGGTCCTTGAAAAAGCTAACTGCGAAAGTATTGAAGTCATGGTTACAAAATCCCGCTTAAGATGGGCTGGTAATAGCTGGTCACGTATGCAGAATGCAAGAAAACCGCATATCAAAATCTCTGCTTTACGGTGAGATTGTAGACGGTAAGAGGAGGCCGGGTGGACAACTGAAAAGGTACAAGGACATTTTCCACGAAAACTTAAAGGGGATTAACATGCAGAATGAGTGGGAAAGCAGCTCACAATAGAACTCAATGGAGAAGAATTGTAAACTCAGTTAACAGCGACAACCAAAAAGTAAAGAGGCAACAAAGTAATGAGATTTTTGAATGTCCGGAGTGCGGTAGGCAGCTAACATCACGTATCGGGCTTTTCACTTACAGAAAAGCTCATGAAAGAAATCGCCTTGCCATCTTGACCATCTTCTGATGTGTGTCGAATACTCGTCAGCGAGTAATGGTAGTATGTATGTATGGTGGCGTTGGTTGGTTTTTACTAATTTTATTTGTTTTTTATATTTTTTTGCCAGTGTCGAGGTTAGTTGCGTTGGTTATTTGGTGGAGTGGATAGCGTTGGTTAGTCCCAGCCTTGTATATGACTTTTTAAAGTAGCTCAACCTAAGACGTTTATGGATGTAAAGCACCAGATGGCGGGGCGTATTTCACAGTCTTTTACTACAGAAAAATATTTTTTGTTACTCTGAATTTTGAAGCGGCCAATAGAAACAGAGAAAATAAAAATCGATAATTTTCGGACTGTGCCAATTGGTTGCTAATCGACCAGATACTTTTTGTCTATTAGATATGCTATAAAAGCTGGTAATTATACAATTCGACCATTGTAAATACCCGACAAATTCCGCAAGGCCGACGAGGCCGATGTTTTTCACTGATAAGAAATAAAATGTTTGTTTAGATAATTTTCGAGATATTTTTTCCTTCTGAATGCACATTTTAAAATATTTTATATTCTTTGACGGCTTGATCTACATACTGGTTGCACGTATCGAAGTTTTGTTTCTTGTAGTTTTAAAATATTTTCTTGTTTCTTTGTAGTTTTAGTAAAATTAGATTAATTTATTAAGTTTGATTATAATGTTTAGTGTAGACTACCAGAAGTAATTTAGAAGTGTTTTTATATTTTATTTTGAATTTAAGTAGTATAGGTGAAGGGGTAATTTGTGGTTATTTTTTCTTTATATTTGATTAATTAATAAGTTTGATAATTTGTTTAGTGTAGAATACAAGAAGTAGTTTGTGTAGTGTTCTTGTAAGAGATTATATTCATTTATTTTCGAGTTGAGTAGAAGGTGAAGGTATTTGGGTATTTTTGTCTTTTTGATTTTCTTCTAAATAATTCTAGTAGTTCTTTTAAATATTGTGATAGATACATTATAATCTTCCTTCAACTTCGTTTAAAAGTGCGTTATCATCTAATTTTGGTTCTCTGGTAGTTGAATATATGCGAAAAAAAATCTGATCAAATTTTAAATTAATTTAATCTAGTCTTATTAATCAAATTAAACTAGTCAAATAATATTAATTGCAATCAATTATTAAAAAATAATTATTATTTTGGAAAATAAATTTTGAAATGGAGTATTATTGATAAAATTTAGCCAATTTTTTTTTACCCAGTAGCGTATTTCAATATGATCTTATCATTTATCACTGTATAATAACTTTGTTGTGGCAGAAAAATATACCAGTTAGTTTCAAAATATTATTTTTTTTAAACGTCATAAAAGTATTAATTTTTGCGACGTGATTGACAATATAAAAAAGTCATTTTATCGCCTAGGCATAAAAGTAAAGTTTTACACCTAAGCATAAAAGTATGAAAATATATTATTAAAATGACACAAAACAAGGTATGATTGATAGCGGCTCCAATTTCGTTCAGTTTGCGCATATCGCCTGTGACGTCATATGCCATACAAAAAAATATCCATATTGTTCAAATGCCACTAATAAAAAAAGACCTAAAATAAGTAAGAATAATGACATAACCCCTAAAGTTATGTAAAATCATCGAGCTTGACATTTGAAAAGTTATGACACATTATACACATTTATTATGTGTCATCTGTTTGAAAATTTGAAATTGACGACCAATAGTGCCGTTTATCACCTGTGACGTGGTGACCAACCTGCGCAATATCATACCTTGTTTTCTCTGTATCATAATAATTACTTACAAGGTATGAGTTTTAAATCTTTTTATATTATTTGGAACGTTTGAAATTGTTTAAAAAATTATTTGTGGCGTTTGAAAAAAATAGCATGCTCTATTCGGAGTAAAAATGACTTTTTGTGCTTCGGCTGTATGTCAAACGTACAGTCTCGCCATGCATGCACGAAAAATGTCATTTTTACTCCTAATAAAACAATATACTAGAAAGTTTTATGGTTTAACGGGCTTTGTGAGTTAAAACATAATGATATTTTCAGTTTCTATAATTCTCGATCGAAAATAAACGGCGTCAGCGATGGCTATGAAATGAAGATCGCTGTCATTTTATATGTAAATTTATATGGGAAATGACGATCGACGACATTTTTTTTTCATATGGTACATAGTTAAAGCAAACTTGACTGATCATGTTTTACGCTAAGAAAGATTTATTTCGTGTAATAAAGATTTAAATGGTATATTAAGTATCTACATAATATTTATTTAAATGTCAAATAATATTATTGAAGCAAGTGCCAAGTTTTATTTTTAATTAAGAAAAAATTTAATCAAGAATGTATAAAAGTTTTGTTTTCAAAAAAAAAATTATCGTAAATTCGTAAAACCTCAATTTAGAATAAAATGTTCCAAGAGTGAAATAAAATTTTATAGCCCTGTGTCAAATCGAAATAAAGTAAGTGTATGTAACTTTTTTTAAATATTAATAATTGCCAGTAATTAGCAAATGTACCAACATATTGAAATAATAATTTCTATGTTAATACGGTTTAGAATCCTTAAAATAACCGCAAAAAATAATCGAAAATCAACAATGAAATAATAGTTTTGTTTAAATTTCTTAATCAGCTGAGCCCTATTATAGTTCGCAAAAATCCGAGCTATATTATTACATTACTCTGAGGGAAATACCGCAAATAATCGATATTTTTGACTCCGCCCCTAATCACATGACTGAAATTCACGATTTGTTCACCAGAGGCAGCACATTTTGTCGAGAGGTTGACCAACTTTAAGAATATATAAACAAGGGTCCCAGTCCCAGTTACACCCCAGTTAGTCCTTTGAAAGATCCCAAAGGATGTCGCCGCTCTGCTGTGTTGTCTTCTTTCGTACGCTGACCAATAAAAACCAAGTAAATTTTGTTGATACCGTAGGTCTGTAAAGAATGTTTATATGCTTGGTGATATGGGAGCGATAATTGTGTCGTGATTCAAATGTGGTGCGATAAGTACTCGCATGGCGTTTTTTAGGCACCAGAGTAAAAAATTAGTAGAATTAATTTATATTATGACAGAGAATTTTTATATACTAAAATAAATTAAATAGAAATATTTAGGCATTTGAAAGAAAATGTGGTACACACGTACCATACTTTTATCTTATAATAATTAAATCTTTTTGCCTACTTAAACTTTTTCTATTTCGGAATAAATATTTGCCAACAAAAATGCCAACTACTGTTTGGTCGGGTTGACGAAGGCTGTCGTAAAAAGGCTAGGGTTTAATAGTAGATTATTTTCTTTTATCTATGGGCTAGGTGGAGCTATGGCAGAAAAAATAATAAATTTTCAAAGCAAATTTGTATCACTGATATTGGAATAAAGTTCTCGGGCGACCCTCGTAAATTAAAAGGTAATGAATTTTTTGTTCTGGAATTGCTGAAATCCTTAATAATAATGGATATTAGAAGGCTTTAAAGATCTTATTAACAAATAAAATAACTTTATAAACAAAGAATTTATATTTGTGCATCTATTACCAATAAATAACAATAAATTCAGACAACTACAATTTGCTATGTTTACACTTCAGTAAATCTAGTTCTTTGCCTAAAAGACTTTCAAATTCCAGCTTTAATAAGTGATGTAGTGATTTGCCATCGTGCTTGTATATCCAACAGTCATTTTTTACAGAATAGTCATACCTCTTCGGCCCTGATGTTGGAGAACTTAGCCATATTTGTCTATTAGGTGCTTGCCTGTTAATGACGTAAGCACCATAGTTCCCTAAATCTATCGTTAAAACTCCACTCTAAAAGATAACATTTTTTAAAATAGTCCATCAATTACCTACTGTAATTCGGAATGTTCACTTTTTAGTATAATATAGTAAACTTACTCCATAGACTACATCCCCTTTTTCAAACTTTGATTCATTGGCAACTATTTCATCAAATAATTCTGCTAAAGAATCCAACGTTTCTTCGCATACCTTGTCATAAGTATTAGTATCAACTAAGTCCTCCTCTTCAGACAGTACTGAATAAAAACATGTTTTAAGGTCAGTTTTAAAGATTACCTTATCTTGACTGAGTTTAATTAATTGAAATATATTGTGCTGGGATCCATTGGCAATTGATAAAGTTCTGTTGAACTGTATACTTCCATTGTATTTTCTTTTTGAGAGCAATCTTAGTAAATATCTATTTAAAAGAGACATTTCTACAAAAGAAAACGGTTTGTAAGTTGTTTTAAGGTTTATCAATATTGTTATAAAAATGAGGGTACATACTTGTAATTTCTCTCAATTATTGGCTCATACAGTTTCTTTTAAGAGTCCATTCGCTTAGAATGTAAAATAAGGAAGAAATTTCGCGAAATTTCAATATTAGTCCATTAAGTAATCTACTTTTTTATTCTGTTTAATTTTACATGTTTACATTGAATTTAAGGTTAGGTACCTCTTATATTTAAAAAAATATTTTTACATTGATTTTTACCGTCGTTGTACCTTTTAAGCTTGCCTTTTAAGTAAATTATGGTAATGGTGCGGATCCGGTAGCTGACCTTGAAACGAGTTTTTGCTGCATATATTCTATGCTGCATATATTCACTGACACTACGCATGCGCACATCTTCGATGTTGCCAGATTGCGAGTTATTTTGGAATTATTTTCAGTAGAAAACAAATATGTGCTTTTCAGTGTTTTTTTGTCAATATATACCGTATGATCGAAAAAACGGCGTCCAGTTGGCTGGGAAATGACGATTGAGGACATTTTCATAAAATGACAGAGATCTTCATTTCATAGTCATTGCTGACGCTATTTTTTTTTCAATCATAGTACGCGGTATATTATTTATATTATTATTTTAATATTTCGCACAACACGTGAACGCTTATTATGTATTTTTATAGTCAATAAAATTATATAGAAATAAAACTCTAGATTCCTATCTAGATTATTATGCTACGTTTAAAAGTGCTTTATTAAAAATTCGGGAAATTAAAGGGATGTGTCCAAGTTTTTCTTTTTTTAATTTTTAAATGCTGTAGCTCCATGTCATGTTCATAATAGATTTTTTTAACATTCCATCAAAACTACGGAGGCCTTAAAGGGCCTTTTAGCCTCCGTAATTAAAATTGTAGAATCAGCTTCAGCAACATTAACAGTTACCTTGTTTAATTCTGCTTATATATTGCATTAATTTTTCTGCTACATTAAGATTTCTCTATTCTTACACCTAATTTATGTGATTTTCTTAGCATATATGATTTACAAACCATATTTTTCCTAATGGAAGGATGAATAGGATATGCAAAATTAAGATATTTTAACATTTATTTTCCAGACCAAGCATAATATAGTATTAAGATGAAGACATAACAAATATTATAAGAAAGATCTTAATATAAATCACAAACTAAGTCTTAATTTAGTCTTGTATTTCTATTATTATTATTCTTATAAAACTAATAAGATCAAAACTCAACCTTCACCATATTGTCAAGATTTGGCATTATAGGAAACAAGAAATTATAGTAAATTAAGAAAAGAATATCAAAGTACACGATATTAAATACTGTAATGTATTCTACGATACAAACCATCTCCCTTCTAAAAAGAAAAAGATAAAACATAAAGCTTATTTTAGTCTTATCAACAGGGGCGGATACAGGAATTTATTTTAGGGGGGGCCCAAAATGAAAAGCAATGTAGAATATGGTTTTTAGGGCGCCATTTTTAACACAAAAGCCTAATATTTTACACAAATCACAGACTTTAGGGGGGCCCGGGCCCCATGGGCCCTCCCCCTGTATCCGCCGCTGCTTATCAACACACTCTTCGATAAAATCCACTAACTTGATATTTTTAAGAAATTATGATAAAAACATTAATTATAATCAAAATATATTATATTAGTAACATTATATAATAGGTAAAATGTTACCTCTATCTCCGATTGACGTTTATTGTTCTATAATAAGACCCGTCATGGTAGTACTTCAAAACATCAATACATATAATCAAAACTATTGTTGCCTGTAAATAACTAGAAATTAAATAACTTTTAATGAAAAGAAATAAAATAATTCTAATAAGTTTAAAACCATTAAGAAAAAATCCGTAAATGATAAATTTTAATTCTAATGTAAATATATAAATAAATGTTATTATTATTACAATTTTATATATTCATAATACTTCATTTCACAATCTTCATTATTCTTCTTACCTTAATTTTGGATATCAAGATAAATCTGAAATTATAAAATTAATTATAGAATTTGTATTATTATTGATTAACACGCAAAAAAAATTTTCAACTGCAAATAATTCGAAAATAAACTGCAATTTGGCAACATCGATGATGTGCGCTTGCGTAGTATTGATGATCAAAAGCAGCAAATATGGGCTTCAAGGTCAGCCACCGGCCACCGGATCCACACCTTTACCTAAATTATTATTAATAAATAAATATTTATACTCCATAAAGTAAATAACCTTTACATTTTTATTTCTATATATAAAACTATACACCCATTTCACATTTTTTACAAGCAGAATTTACCAATTTTAAAATAATTCAAACAAAACTTGATAAAATTACCAAAACCACTATTGAAACGTCTAAAAAATGGAATAAAACCAAAATATATTTCTAGAAAAATTCATTAAAAATATAATTTAATAAAATCTAGAAATAAAATATACAGCACCCATAAATTTTTATTTAAAAATAGTTGAAAAAAATTAAGTTGGCGACATGCGACATTGGATTTATGGTGGGTTCATACAGCCAAATAAAATAAAATAAGAATAAAATAAAATAAGAAATAAGGAATTCTTATTTGTGTGCGTTCATACAGTCAAATAAAATAAAATAAGAAATATATATTTGCTCATGCGCAGTACGATGAGGCTGGATAAAAGTTAACTTTTACGATTGTTTATAGTAATTTTACTATTTATAGTATATTTATTTATTCGTTGCCTACTATATTATACATTTTACTTATGTGAAATTATAGAATAAATTAAATCCAAACTGAAAATATTTGTAGGTTAGAATTAAGCGTGCGCAAAGCCGTTTTCACATAAAATAAAACAAGAAGTTAAAAGATAAAGACTTCTTATTTTATTTGGCTGTATGAACGCATGTACGGTATCCCATATAACCAACTTTCTTATTTTATTTTATTTTATTCTTATTTTATTTTATTTGGCTGTATGAACCCACCATTAATTGTGTATTGGCCACCCTAGTTTCAAAAAAAAAATTTGACAGCCAGTTAATTTTAAAAAGAAAATAAGAAAATCCCTAGGCAAGAAAGCTAACCTCAAAATTTTTCAATCATCGATTTTAGGCACTAGGACGCCGATTTTTTGTTTAATTTATTTTTGAATACCAGCTAAAACAAAGTAAAAATGTCGGCAGATTTTTACATTCGATATTACGTAGGCCACAAAGGTAAATTTGGCCATGAGTTTCTTGAATTCGAATTTCGACCTGATGGCAAACTGAGGTACGCCAACAACTCAAACTACAAAAACGATACCATGATCAGAAAGGAAGTCTACGTTCATCAGTGCGTTATGGAAGAATTGAAGAGAATTATAGTCGACTCAGAAATAATGCAGGAAGATGATGCTTTATGGCCACCATCAGACAGAATTGGTCGGCAAGAACTGGAGATTGTAATCAATGATGAACACATATCCTTTGCCACTTCTAAAACTGGTTCTTTAGTGGACGTGAGTCAGTCCAAAGATCCCGAAGGTTTGAGATGCTTCTACTACTTAGTCCAGGATCTAAAGTGTTTGGTGTTCTCTTTAATTGGTATGCACTTTAAAATTAAGCCTATATAATGTGTAGTTGTCAAAGTATAAATTAAATAAAAGATTTTGTATTAAAGAATTAAATTGGTGGTTTAATTATATGAAAAAAACACAAGGCTAGTAATTATTATATTATATTTCATAGTCATCGGGATGGTACATCTCTGATAATAAGCGGTAAATATAAGATGGGGCATTTCCTCCTCTATAATAAACAAGAACAACAAATATTAAGTAAAAACTGTATAATTTAGTAAAATCGATGACAATAGCCCTAAAAATTACATTTCAATTTGAATTTTACTATAGCTACTTACAATGCAACAAAAATATACAGCACTCCATCTAAAATCAACCAAGCAATCCATCTAAAAAACTACAAATTTGGCATCAAAATATATTTTAATTATCCTGTATATTTATGAAAATATTTTAAAATATGCATTATATTGCAGTTTTTTTGTTTGACCAGGACTGCAAACTGAAAATTAGCTGTGACTATCAAAACTCTGGAAATAGCCATAGTAAAGCATGAACTGAAATATAATTTCTATGCCTACTGTGATATTCAATTGTGGTATGTATACCATGCTAAATATATTTATTTGAATGTATTTCTACTGTACTTACTGATGTGTTATAAACAGAGTAACTAACTCTGGTGGAACATGGTCAAACATTGGATTTTTTATGTCGGCACTGTTTAAAACTGATCCAAAAGAATATGGTATTACGCTAGCTGGTGAGGCACAAATATTAAATGAATCATGATCATTTGAACCCAGGTACAATGGAGTCAATTTATACATATGTGAGAGTACCATGACCTAAAAGTGGGAATTGGAAATCATTTTAATATAAAACAAATGTTAATATAATTTCACAGTAAATTTTAAGATTATTATGACTTACTGGAATAGAATAATGTTTTGCAGCTAATGCAACAACATATATGCCACTGGTTGCTCTTAGAGCTCCATTAGCCAGAACAGTATGAGTGCCTATTATAACTTTGTTAACTCTAGAAATCATAGCAAACACTGCAGAATCAGGAATTACTGTGGTTTGTATGTTGCTTTTTGCTAAAGCTGCTGCCATAGAGTGCCCCTTTAACATAAATTATCATTTAAAATAATACTTTGTTATAAACCTAACTTATAAGGTAATTACCAAATACGAAGGTGCCCCTTCAACAACAATCACATTAAAAAGCCTCTGTTTCGAGGCAGATTTTAAAAACTTTTCCACAGTTCTTGATTTTCCAACTGTAAGAATAGTTTCATTACTGTGTATATGTTCTGAAGCTTGAGCTGCTATATTCTCAGTGCTAAAATGAATATTACAGTTTTAAGTTTCTAGAATTTTTCATTTAATCATACCTGGTTTCAAGTTCATCTTTATATTCAGAGAGATGATCCAGTAATGCTGATCTTAAATTCGAAACGTTTTCTGAGTAATCCAATACATTGCTGGAATCACCTTTAACTATTTGTTGTAAAGAATGAGTTTCTCCTTTTTTCTATTATAAAAAAATCATAACGAAATAAATATTATAAACCAGTCACCTATATTAATAAAATACCTTTGAAACTAATTGATATTCATCACGAATAATTTTCAAAATATGTTTCATAATGTTACTAGCAGTAGGCTCATCAGGTAAACTTTGTGAAAAACATTTTATCCTCTGTTTAACTAAATCCATTAATTCTCTGCAATCCTATTACCTTAAGTACTTACTATCCCCTAAATAGTATTAATACTTACAAAGCACTGTCCCATTTTCCATGGGAAATGAGGTTTTCAAGCAATTTTTCAGTACGAAGAGCTACATCATATGAACTAAGTATGTTCCTTAAAACGAGGACAATTAATTTAATTTAAAATGATATGAATAAAAGATTACTTGTGCTTTATGTCACTAATCAGTTTGATTATATCCGATAAGTCGTCATTGTCCTTCATAATTAAATGTAATTTTTCTCTAGTAAAATAAAATCAAAAATATATAAAAATAATAAATATAGCCTAAATTCTTCAAGTTATTGACATTGACCATAGATTATAGATCTTTTATCTATAGATAAGCTTTGTTGATGACTGCGTCCACAGAACAACATCTAGCTAGTCTGACCACAGAATACCTTGCATCTGATATCAGTATTGCCAACTGTTAATTACTAAAATCACAGCTTTTATATATGATTATTATCTTTATGATATATGATCCATAAATCAACAAAAATTCAATAGGTTATGTTTAATGTTTATAAAATTTGATAAAATCCAATGAAAAATTAATTAGCTTTAAAAATGATACACAGTTTATTTATAATTAACTCACAGGGGTACAGTATTAGATCCATTAAGATTTTAATAATATAAATTACTTAGATTATAGTACAGAACTTTCTTAATTATTACATATGGTTTCTCTATTTTAGTGATGTTTTCCTAGAGAAACATTGGAGAAGTGTGATCTCCCGTTCTGTTTGTGATTACTACTTAGAAGCCCAGCGTGAGAATGCGAAAGATATCAATCCTGTGATTGCAACTCCACATCACTACTTAATTTCCATCCAACGAGCCGGAGTGAGTTATGTTGCTGTGTGTATGGAAGAAATTCAACCTCTTTTTGTTATTGAATTCCTACATCGCATTGTCGATACATTTCAAGTAAAAATCTCTCTAAATTTTCTGCGGCTTTATGTTGAAGATTTTTTTTGTATTCTAGGATTACTTCTCAGACTGTACAGAGTCAATCATAAAAGAAAATTATGTAATTGTTTATGAGGTAGTGATGTTATTGTATGTATTGTGTAACATTGTATTTTAAAGATATTATTTAGCTTTTAGATGAAATGCTTGATAATGGTTTTCCTTTGGCAACTGAGAGCAATATTTTAAAAGAACTTATCAAACCCCCAAATATTTTGCGTACTATAGCCAACACAGTAACAGGAAAAACAAAGTAAGAGATATGGATGTAATTAATGTTACAGATAAATTAGTTTTTTTGTTGGATTTTAGTGTAAGTGAGGTTCTTCCTTCAGGACAACTGTCGAATATTCCATGGAGACGATCTGGAGTGAAATACAATAATAATGAGGCATATTTTGATGTTATTGAGGAGGTAGATGCAATAATCGACAAATCTGGGGCCACTGTGTTTGCAGAAATACAGGGTTATGTTAGTTCTATAATTTTAATAAGTAGAAAGAAATCATTATTATTTTTATTTTCATTTTTAGATTGACTGTTGTATTAAGTTAAGCGGTATGCCTGATTTAACTCTATCATTCATGAACCCCAGACTATTTGATGATGTCAGTTTTCATCCTTGTGTGAGATTCAAACGATGGGAAGTATGTAATAAAAGAAAAATATTTTTCTTTTTATAGTTACATTTTTTGGTTTATAGGCTGAAAGGGTATTGTCATTTATTCCACCAGATGGAAATTTTCGATTGATATCTTACCATATTAACACACAAAGTGTGGTAGCAATTCCTATTTATGTCAGGCACAATCTGTCAATAAAAACTGGTGAGCAAGCCAGACTGGATTTGACAGTTGGGCCTAAACAGACATTAGGAAGAACTGTAGAAAGTAAGTGTGACAAACCATATCTATATCAGTCTCATTTGAATCAAAAGTTACTCATTTTTATAGTTGTGATTGAATCTCAGCGAAATAAGTAAAATAGAGGCACCTTAACATATGAATTAAATTGGTTTTTGATTTGTTGCAAAGCAAAATTATAAAAACTTTGTTTTGAATACTAAATTTAACTAATGTTTGATTTCAGGTGTTAAATTAGAAGTATTGATGCCAAAATGTATTCTTAATTGTATTTTAACTGCCAACCAAGGCAAATACAATTTTGATCCAGTGTCAAAGATATTGCATTGGGAGATTGGCAAGATCGATGTGACTAAGTTGCCTAATATAAGGGGAACTGTAAGTATTCTTTGATGCTTTTCAATATTTTATCATCTAACCTCAATTTTACATGTCTAAACCTTTGAATAGAAGTTTATCAGGGTTTATCAGTATGACTTAAGTCAGCCATATTAATCCCCCATCGCGCTCCACCTAAGTTTGTTGATATGTTCCTTCCTTAGGGTTGCCAAGTGTCCTCCTTCCGGGAGGACAGTCCTCCTTTTAGAAGAAATGTCCTCCTGCCTCCTTTTGTACCCAAATGTCCTCCTTTTACAATATTTGACAAAAAAGATTCCTTAAACCAGTGAAATCTAAGTTTATTATAAAAAAATAGGTATGTACCTGAGATGATGTTAAGTTGGTAATATTGATATGGATGCTTTTATAGTTTATCCTTGTTATTCATTATGTAGATACCTAGTTTTTTTTTCAAAACAGGTATGTAGATACCTAAAACTAGGTTATGTAGATACCTAGTTTTTTTTTCAGGTTAGTCAAATTCATTCGGTATTTCAAAAAATTATAAAATATTACTATGTATATTTTTATGCAACTTTTTATATTTTATGCTTTATGATGGAAATGAATATTATTGAGATCTTACACAGAGAACACACATTAATATATTTAGATCTTAACAAACCACATAAAATTAGTGAAATAGAGTGTAAGATGGGGATAAAAAATACTACATTACTCTTGGCTTAACAGATTTTAAGAAATTTGGTGTCATTCAAAAGGGTTTAATTTGTTCTTTAAAAACAAAGCTAGATATGAAAAATAGTCAAATAAAACTTCTATTTTTAGTTTTTTAATCTAAATAAGTGTCATTGCAAACATTTATAAAATAATTTTATATACTATATACATTGTTAAGTTTTTAAAATCTTGGTTTTAAGTCAGTAGTAAATAAAACGAAACTTTTGTTTACATTGTGTTTAATGATTGATGTTTCGACCAATTTTAATTCGGTCTTCTTCAGAATCTATAATATACGTATAAATGATGTTCTACGTTTGTGGTAAGAAAAAATTATATATTAAACACATTGTTAGTGATAAAATAGTATTGTACCTAATCGAAAGTGTACGAGACTTTCGATTAATAATTCATCGGAAATATTTAATGTAAAACTGCTCCACTAAAAACAGTCGCTCGGTGTAGACTATTCGTCCCCCTCCCATGCATTCTCTGATTTCGCCTGATGGCGCCGGGTACCGCCGATGGCGCCGATAGCTCGAAGCGCACCGATCTAATACAGTGCGCGGGCTTACATTTATTTCAACGTAATCTGAAAATCACATGTCGGTCGATCGCGCCGATACCCCTTCAGTGCGCGTAGAGCTTTAGGCCACATGCCACGCTATCCCACGTGAGTCCACGTGTTGCGACGTGGGAAAGAGTGTACACATGAGATCTGGGACAGACGAATCGCCCATCACACGTGTGATAGCGTGGGATGGCATGGGGTGGCGTGTTGCCTAGTGTGTACAAAATACATATAATTAAATGGAAAAACATACGCACAGATCTTCATGACGTGGCGTGGCGTGTTGGCTAATGGGGTCCCGGTATAAATACCAGTATTTTTCTTAAATTTGCTGTAGGTAGCACTGAACATAGTGTTATAAATTTAATAATAAAATAGATTAAATAAATAATTTATTAATTTTATTAATTTTGATTGATAAAATTGCGTTTATCTTATTAAAGAGACCGAAAACAACAACATATCAAGATCAAGGGACAACTTTTAATCGGCATTAAACGGCCTATACAACTTTGATAACAAGAAAAAAAAATCAGTGGTGCATATTTTTTTCTTAGAAAAATATTCCACATTCCATATATGCACGTCCCTGGTGAATCTGTCGTCACTTTTTTAGTACTAAAATATGTAACACTTATTGTAACTTTTACAGTTAGAAGAAAATTATAATAAATCGAAAAAAATGCTTTTTCGATTCGAAAAAATACTTTAACCCCCTGTAGCTACGAAACAAAGCAAAATCGGACCAATGTTGATATAAAAAATTAATCGAATATCCCACGAGCGATGGCACATGTTTTTTGAAATATCCTGTATATTTGACGAGCTATAGTAGTTTTAAAATGTTAATGTTTTTCCTTGTTTAGGTGACAATTGCGAGCGGTACAAATACGGCAGAGATAAATCCATCTATAAATGTCCATTTTACAATAAGCCAACTGGCTGTGAGCGGCTTAAAAGTCAACAGACTGGACATGTACGGGGAAAAGTACAAACCATTTAAGGGAGTGAAGTACATTACCAAAGCTGGCCGTTTCCAAATTCGGATGTAGAATAAATTGTAAGCTTTAACTGAGTTATTCTTTACTTTTTAATATATCGTCGGTTTCTCGGAAATCTCGCTGAGACAGTACATACGATCGAGAAAGAAAAACAGCGTCACAGTGGCTTTTGAAATGACGATCGATGATAATTTTCGTCGAACTAATCCCTATATGTCATTAAAAATTACGAGCATCATAGTAAATACAAAAAAGGAATTTTAATTTTAAATTATTTTCAAAAAATAATTTTTACAGAATATACTTTTGTGTGGCTTATCCATATTTCCTATGTATCTATTAATTTTTGACAATTTTTTATAATTTTTTAATAGATTGCGTATAGAGATTGCTCTGACAGAAATTTAACATCGATTGACACTTGAATGACCACATTGGCGCCTTTTTTCGATCTTGTGTGTTTTAGATTTTAGAAATATACAGAACTTTTAAACAAGCTAAAAAGACCATTATATATTTTAATAGATTTTTGTTTATTAACGAATTTTAATGTTAGAAGTTAGTTAAATTAAGAAACTTAATGTTTAGTAAAATATATTTATTTTTTATATGTTTGTTAATATTTTTTTCTATAGCAATTGAAAATCATTATTTATCTTTAATTATTATTTGCAATTGATTAAAATATATTATATAATAAAAAAATGTTATATCAATTCAATTTTTATTATACCTATATATAGTACATTGGCGGTGCGTTAGGTTAGGCCATAGACTTAAAATAAAATATAGACTGAGCATCTCATTCATAAATAGCTGGAACATGCGGTCAGACAATGTCTTGTTATTGCTGTGTTATTGTTTTAGGTTATAACGAGTGCGACACGAGCGATAGATAGGTTGTCTCTGTCGTAACGGTCGTTCCCTGACGACTCTGCCGAGAAACACAACACTGTCTTTCGTTTCTCAAGTACACCTGAACTCTCCGTATCATAGCCGGGTAATTTTTTTATTTTAATGAAGCTATAATTAAATTAAAATATATCGTATTTAAACTTTTTTATATTTTATTAAGATTTAGGACAGGTTTTTTAAATAAAAGTTTAGAAAAAACGTCTTAGAGTCCAAAAAGGATAAAAATAATAAAATACACGTTATAGAAGAAATTTTATAATCGAAATTACGTAATTTTTGAAATTAATAATAAATTATTAATTTTAGTCAAACATTCATCAATCAATACTTTTTATTTGCCATCTTTTCTTCAGACTGAAGAATGGCTTTTTATAAGTTTTATTTTTTTTTGCCAATAATATTTAGATTTATATTCTTCTGATACACATTATGACCGTTAGAATTTAAATTAAAATACATACATGTGTAAGAAAATTATATGTTTCTATCATAGACTTAAAATAAAATATAGACTGAGCATCTCATTCATAAATAGTTGGAACATGCGGTCAGACAATATTAGACCCCTAATATTAATCAAAACAGGATCTATTCCACAGATATAATAGAATCGGCGACAGGGAGAGAAAAAAAATATGATTGTTGTATTTTTTTTTCTGATTAAGTGATGTCTTATTATGTAAATTAGAGATAACATAAATCTGTTCCATTAAAGCAAGGAAGGTGATAGGAAGTGGATAAAATGAAAACTACATTTATTTAACTCGGTACTGTCTTTATTATACCGGGTGCGTCCCAAAAGTGGCCCATACCCATATTTTTTTTTAAATTTTCAAATAAAAAAAAACAAGATTTAGTATGTTAGTATATGACATAAATTAGGATTGATTGACGCATTCAATTGTTTTTGGTTACTTCCTGTTTCACCGGAAATGACTATAACTTTTAATTTTTAAACGGCACCCTCGGTATATTTCTACTTTATTCGATAGAAAATGACACTCTGAATAGAATGACATATCATATGATATGTCATATAATATACACTTTTGACATTTTCGCATATGGTTTAATTGTAATTGTAACACGCGGTTCATAACGACAATTTGACTCGAAATACCAAGTGTGTGGTATAAATATATTCATAAAAAAATGCTTTTGCTAAATATGCTAATGAGTCACCATTGTTCCATTTGAAAAAATTGACATATGTATGATTAAAAATACGATTTGTACATCTTTTAACCGGCCTAGACAAGACACGAAACCCATTAGGCGATCAAAACTATTTTTCCAAGGCTCCTTGATTAAAACTTAGTGTTTTTAACAACAACATGGCACCCTGGATTGAAATTTAAAATACGATTTGTTTTTAAGCGACAATGTCAAAAGTTGACATATGATATGTCATTCTATTCAGAGTGTCATTTTTTATCGAATAAAGTAGCAATATACCGAGGGTGCCTTTAAAAATCAAAAGATGTAATCATTTCGGTGAAACAGGAAGAGACCAAAAACAATTGAATACGTCAATAAATCCTAATTTATGTCATATACCTACTAACGTACAAATCTGTTTATCTGAAAAAATAAAAAAGTTATAGGGGGTGAGCCACTTTTGAGACGACCCGGTATATTAAAAAATATTGTTTCATAATGTAATATCATTTTAAAATTCTTGTATGTTATTTTAGATTCTGAAGATAATTTTAGAATAAACCGGAATATATTTAAAAAAAAAACATTATTAATTATTAACAGGGTTATAATTATGATTTTGTTACAATGTAAGTAAGTAAATAATGTAATGTAAGAGAAAAAATTCAGATTTTACATTTTACTAAAATATTATCTAAATAAGCGCCTTTCTACAACAACGCCACTGACTCCCAATGGGTAAATTGAGAGTTGCCTACCGGTCGAAAGTCGTTTCAAGACTTAAATGGATTATTTAAGTCAAATTTCTTGCAAATTTGGCACTGGCAAACCATATTTTATAGTTCTTCAACAGAAAAAGTCAATAAAATAAACACTTAAGGACTACAAGCTAAGAAAATGCGTTAATACAGCCGGGGACACAGCGGCAACAAAGCTTTACCGCACACGTGCGGCGCGTACTACAAGGTAATAAATGAATGAATAGGCTCCCTCGCCTCTAATCGGTGTTGTCATATTGTAAAGAACTTATCCTTTTTAAACAGTATCCGACTTATAATTTAGTAGTATAAGGTCTATTTAATAAATCTATGGAATATTAAAACCTACTTTATTAAACTGTAGTATTAATATCTCAATATATGTGTATAACAAGAAAAAAAATATTGATAATATTAAAGACGTGACAACATAGGCTGGATGAGGAAGGCTCGGTCGACTGTACCCAGAAGTAAACATGTTGAGATGTAAATAGTATAGTAACCGCGTTGAGATGTAAATAGTGTAGTCTATATTTTATTTTAAGTCTATGGGTTAGGCACAATAGTTTTTAACTATAATAATTATAGTTAAAACGAATAATTATTATTCGTCTGATTATTATGCATCACTGTTGCTTTTGAGCTGCTAAAAATATTTAGAGCAAAATAAAAACAGAACGACATTACAGTTCAGCTTGTTTTTTGAAAAAGATCGACTTGATATTGTTGTGATCTATATTATACAAGGTGTTTCTTAAGTAAGTAGAAATATTTTAATTGCTAGTATATTTACTACTGAAAAAGGAGTTCTTTTCGTAAATAAATGTCGGAAATTTTGTTTTTCTTTACTTTGAATTTTCCTGTATATTTTTGAAAACATTTTAGAATTGTATTTTTATCGTATATTTGCCCCAAATATCTACATTACTTGTACGAGTACTACGAGCATGCAACGTTGTCACTTCGTACATACTCCGTATTCTTGTTTACTGTTTAAAATACTGTTAAATTATAGTGTCTAGAAACAACTGCTCCTTTATACAGGTTGTTAATTTGTTTATTACTCGCGGCAAGAGCTTTATGGTTGAAATATGGCAACCTCGGCCCGGTTGTCGAGAGACGACGCGACGGGATGAGTCGGCAGCTTAGCTTAGTACTCATTTGGAATGTAGGCAGTATTGCCATTCTGTTCTCCAATAAGTAACCGCCCAGTTAACAATCTGTATACTGCCCAAACACTTAATTTTAAGAAAACACATAAAACACACGTATAATTCATATCAAGTAAACTTTTAGTCACGTGATTAAGCTTGACCGGTATAGCGTTGCTCATTTTTAAATATTTTCTTTTAATCAAAATATTTGAGGAAACAAAAATAATAAATTTATTAATAATAAACAGCTATTATTTATATCAACAAAACTGACCTTCTTAACAGCACTTAAGGGACATAAAGGGCCATTACTACCGCTTTCTCGTTCAAAATATTCTAATAAAGTTGCAATGAGTTTTTTACGGCTATTAAGCTATCTTTTACACTTCGCGAGGAAAGAGGTTTGGACAAAAAATTTCCTGCGGAAATGCGTCATTTTCATTTTCCGGACTTTAGAATAGCCGAAATCTGTTACATTAAAACTAGCTTCTGGGATGTGTTTTAGTCATTTTTCTGGACATAACAACACAAAAAATTGGCTGCGGAAATTTTTGATTGTCATTTTATATAAAAAATGCTCTGACTTTAGAATAGCCGAAATCAGTTACATTTATATCAATGCTTGTATTAAATTTTAGACATTTTTCCGACTATAAAAACACAAAAAAAGCTGTGCGGACACTTTATTTTCATTTAATATAAAAAATGTTCTGACTTTAGAATAGCCGTAATCAGTTACATTTACGCTAGTTGTTCTGTTGAGTTTTAGACATATTTTCCACTATAAAAACACCAAAAAAAAATGTGCCGAATAGCCGTGGAGGTTGGCACAGTTTTTAATGCGTTAGGGCTGCAGACTGTTTTGCCTTTTTCATGTTTTATAACGAATAGTGATCCTCTTCCCGACGTTTAACACAGATCAATGAATAATATCTGTTCTTATCAGCTTAATATCGCTACAATCGCTATAACATGCACATCATTTTTTAAAAAGTAGGCAGTTTATACAATAATATATTCGCCGCGAATTGTTATTCCTCCGAAAGATGTTTTACCCCACCCAGCACCCCTATTCACTCCCGGGTCTCGTAAGCTTCTACACTGTAAAATGTATGAAAAACAAAGTGCACAAA